CAGCAGGAGGCATGTTGTGCAAAGACAGTAACTTTTATTGGAAATAATGTTTCATATAATGTTGCTCTGGAAAAATCAATCTTCTGATACAAAATGACTGAGTCTTTCTTACAGACTACATCATACACACAACTTTGAGCTGGTGAAAATATTACATGTGTCAGTGTGTCACTTCAAATTTATATGTCCACAGTGAAGTCCTACTAGTGTCACTGAGAATTGTGTATGCTTTCCTTCAGCGGGGGAAAATAAATGCTAAACTTCTTATTCCGCTTACAGGCAAATCTGTATTGTGTAGCATTCTGGTTCTCTAAAGATATGTAATCCCTTTGTATCACCCGAGTCATCTGTTGAGTCCTCTTGTGAGGAGGTTAGCAGAAATCTGCATTATGAATAAAGCAGCAGCAGAAGAAATTATGTTCCATTACACCTAATGGACAAGGAGCTGTCAGCTCATGTTTGAGCTCAGGTTATTTGTTAGCAGTGATTTCAAAGCGTTAAGTGATTTCTCATATTTTAAAGAGAGTTTTTTTTAGCAGTGTGGAGGGAAAATAGTGTTTGAGTAATGTGGAACTAATCTTATTGATGGAATAATTTCAGAGTTACTTCCCTGCTGTGTAAAGCTGCCTTGAACGTGACATGCAGTTGTTCTTGGGGAATATAAAGAAACTAGAAATCCATCACCTTATTTTTAAAGGAGAAAGCGTTTTATGCTTACTACTGGAATACAGTATATTATATATTAGATCTATTCTTTTCTTGTTCTGCTGGAGGTTACTGTGGAGGACCAAGATAAATATAACTGTAATCTTTCTTTTGTGACTGAGAAACTGAATCTTTAATGAAAGTATTGTCCAATTGTTTGTTGTTTGTATCTAAAGAAAAAAAAAAAAAATTAAATGAGAAGAAGAAAAACTTGCATCTAAATAGAATCTTTCCTATATAGTTAATAAAATTTGTACTTTTACATCTTGTATCTCAAGGCATCTATCTGGTGATACAGGTAACAATGCTTTTTTATGGGATTTGAATTAATAACTGAAGAAACAAACTGAAGTCATCTGTGTAAAAGGACTGGATCCTTTTTCCTCCATTTGCTGTTCCCTTTAAATGAGTTACTCAGCGTCTAGAGATTTATGCAGTATTATAGAAGCTGCTGCAGGACAAACGTACTCAAATATTTCGCTTTTGTTTGTCCTATTTAGTTATGTAACATTACATTATAGCTTATTTTATATAATTACAAAGAACTGTGTACAGTATGTTTTATCTGTTTAGCTTAGGATGTTGCAGATCCATGAAGTACAATTACCGTGAGCTTTAAGAGGATTCAGACAGGATGAATAATTTTACTTTGACTTTAATAGGTGCTTTTCAGAAAGTCTGTTTTGCAGATTGGTAGTGCGTATGTCATCTGATAAAAGGTGTGGAAAAAATGACTAATACTTTATGTGAAAAATGCCACTGATACTGTATTAAAGAACTTTCAAATTATATATCGTTAAATTCAGTGGTATGTCATGTAAGATGAAAGTGGTTTTCTGTCCACATAAATCAATAGTAAGACAGCTAGGCAATGCTAAATAATCTGCTAGCAAATAGAAATAAGAAACACACCTTGTAAAAAATGGCTATTTTATCATCAATCCGGCTCATTATCATTGTTATTTTATTATATATCCAGCCCATTGATGTGCAGTGGGATTTCTTACAGCAGTTTTAGATTTGAGGTATGTTTGCATAATATAATTTATCAGGGTTGGCTTCAAAGTGGTAAATGAAAGCTGTTACTTTTAGGTTTGATGAATTTGATGAGGCAATTGATGAGGCAATTGAAGATGATATCAAGGAGGCTGATGGAGGAGGTATGTTTCTGATGTTACTTGTATTTCATTGCAATGGTGATAAGAACATTGAGACCAAATTTATTTTGATATGAGAAGCAACAAATATAATCTTCTCCCTTAAACTTTGTAGTTTACAGTTCTTACTGTTATATTTTTTGAATCAAACTAAATAATTTCCCTTCGGAATGGCCATCCTACGCTGCCAAAAGATGCCAAAAAGTACTTGGTCTCAGTAGTTAAATTTAGCTTGTACATGTTTTGATATATGAATGCAATGACTAAGCATGACAAGATAACTCTTAAAATTAATTTGCTAAGTTTTGGATTTCAGATAGGAATGGCAGCTAGCGCTAGTGACATTTGTCCCCTGTAAAAACTGGGCTCATAAATTGGTCCACAGTTGGATCTCCTGAAGACTGGGTCTACAAAGTCGTCTTAAAAATACTAATCCAGATTTATAAGCACTTCTCAGTTGAATGTGAATAAAGTGAAATTATGTTCTTTGTTGCCTGTTAAGGCAACATAGGGGACCAAAAGAGAGATTTTTCAATAGTATCTGAGAGACGCAGATGGATTTGTGCTTCTGTATCACCTTAACTTGCCTGGAGAAAACCGCCATGAAATGTTATCCCTCAGTTGTTTGGCATGTGGTGTCTCCATGAAGACACCAGTTTTCAGAAGCTCGGTATACAGACAATCTGAAAATTGTGTGTCTGTGGGTGTGTAACACAAGACCCGTAGAATAAACATAACTAAGTCTCAACAGTAAAACCAGCTTTTCAGAAACTCCACTCCCTGGCCAAACAACGACTTAAACACTTCATCTCCCAAGAAGGATATTCAGCATTATGAAGAAAATGTATTTTCTGATATCTGCCCTACTCAAAAGGCACTAGCACTGGTAATAATGTGGGTTGGGGTTGAGTATCAGAATGCTGACACTTAGCTGCTGTCTTCCACATGGACTTCACTATTTCCAAGTGACCACAGCTGGGGTCAGGAACGAGACTCCAGACATGGATGAGTCTTGCATAACAAAAAAATACTCTGCTTTATGGAAAATAAACTGAAGCTAGAGGCATGGAAGAAAGATACGTATAAAGTTAAACAAAAAATAAACTTGCTCTTTTTTGCCCTTTCTATCACTGAATTCAGGCATTGGCAGAGGCAAAGACATGTCTAATATCACAGGTCACCGTGGAAAAGACATTTCCACAATCCTAGAGGAAGAAAGGAAAGAAAACAAGCGACCACAAAGGGCTGCTGCAGCACGACGCAAGAAACGACGGCGACTAAATGACCTGGACAGTGACAGTAATCTGGATGAAGAAGAGAGTGAGGATGAATTCAAGATCAGCGATGGGTAGGTCTGCAATTTAACTTCCACCACAAGTCACAGACCGCTACAGGCTTCTGTGACTCGGCAATGCCCTTGATATGATCATTAAGAGCATGTGGCCAGTGCTGGAACAGCACTGCACAGTGCCAGCAAAATTCCTCCTGGCCTCGGGGAACATCACTGTATTGGAAAAACTGCACTCTGGATCCATGTGCTGAAACATTCAACCTGTATTTTAAGCAAAACATGTTCTGGAAATGTTACTGGTATGTTTGAGGCCACACCGTGGGGTTCTATACACGGATATGTTAGTGAGGGAGCCGGACAGGCTCAGTCCTCTGGCTGATGTGACTGCCTAGCAGAAATCCTTAACAAAGTTGTAGCTAAAATGAGGCTGGTTGTTTTCTTTTGAAAATGTTGTGTTTTGTGGAATTTTTATTGGGCCTGATTGCCATACGTCCTTTATGCCTCTATGAATAAACATAATGGAGCATGAGGTCTAGGCTCTTTACCACCAACATTTAAAGCTTTACACCAGTCACAGTCAATTTACTAAGTGTATGGATAATCTATACAACATAGATGCAAATTTTGAGTTTTTTTCACCTGTGACCATGCTGAGGACATTTCATTGACACCCTGAATAGCTGAGCTGAATGTGCTGGAAATTTCCAGTCAATGCGAGTAGCTTGCAGAAATCTCACAGAATTAATAGTGCATTGATCTGTTAAAGTGTGCTCAGGCATTTTCAACTCCATCCTCTGCTGAATGCCTTCTGGATGTTATACTGGAATTTACATTCGACTGGCGGCCAAATGCAAGTGACTGTGTCCCTTCAGTGCTCAACGGTTTTTAAAAAAGCATTTGTTCACTTTTGAAACGACGTGAGTGTTACAAGCTGATAAGTTTGAGAGATGCATGTTTTGCATGAGAGCAACAATTTTGTATTAAGACATGATATTCTAATTCTCAGAAATTGCGTAGGACAGTGCTTGGTTCATGAATGGGAGGTCATCTCTGCCAGAACATGGTGGGTGTTTTTTTCCCCTCTGCAGGTGATGCTCGTCCATAGTTATTGCTATGCAGATGTCACATTGCAGTGTACTATATGAACACTCTAGAATCTGCCCTATGTAAACATCACCTGCAGTCTCAGTTTGACAGTGTTTACATTCACCTGCTGTTCTAATCTGCTGTGTAATGCACTGTAAAGCTATATCCCAAGTATACAACTGAAGCCTAATGTCAGTGATGGCAGTTTCCTCTCTCTGGATTTTTGCTCCGCATTATAACTGTAAGATTTGTGCGTTTTTTTGTGTAAGACAATACTTATTTTGCATATATCACTTGCTTGTAAAATAGAAGTACTGTTTTGATCCTTTGTTTCCGATATCTATCTCTGTTGTCTGTGGTCTCTCTTTGAACAGATCTCAGGACGAGTTTGTTATATCAGAGGAAAACCTGGATGAAAGTGAAGATGACCCACCATCAAACGAAGACAGTGATTCAGAGTTCTGCGCCCGCATATCCAGGCGACACCTCTCCAGGCCCATGAGGCAAAGCAGGCGGTTAAGAAGGAAAACTGTCAAGAAAAAATATTCTGAAGATGACGAAGATGAAGATTCTGAAGACAATTCAAGCAGAGAATCTGGTGAGTATGAGAGTCATTAATATACTAAATAGTCTGTACAGGAAAGAGGAAGAGTGGAAGTCTCAGTTTCCTGTCATGACTGTCACTAACTTGTTTGGTTGCTTTGGTCAATTCAGATGTCATCTTTGCTCTCTGTAAAGCAGTTTGCTGCTTATTCTGCTGTGAATATTCTACAGGAAACTAGTATTGAGGTTCTTGGCGTTTTAAGTAAATATGCATTTAAGTGAATGCTCGTGTTACGATTCAAAAGGGCACCTTGGTGGACAGTCGCAGCTATTCTCTATCTTCCTGTTTGGAACATGATTGCAGAGAAGGGAAAGGATGGAGGCAAAAATGTACTTCTTTATAGCTACTTGAAGACCTTCCGAATACCTTTGAAAAAGCTTCTGAAAGAAACATTTTCCCTCATTTTGTATGGAAGAAAATTCCTTCAGTTGTATGGCATTCTGTGTTCTCTGGTAGGCTTGAAAGCAAACTATAACACCTTGAATCTGTCTCTTTCATGATTATCTTTTTTGATCTTTAGTAACTGAAGACTCTCGCATCACAGGAGAACCTAATAATTCACTTTACTCTACTTGTCCTTCAATCAGTTTGTTTTCTATTTGCACAGTTTGAAGTATGAGAATAGTACCTATGCAATACTCACACCTTTTCACGATTAGCATCTTTCTCTGAAGGCTGTCCTCTTGTTTCTGCTTCATTTGAGACCCAGTCCTAGAAAGTGCCAGATATATAAGCACTTATTTTTCCTTATTTCTGTTGTGAATTTAAGGTACTAAGTACACTGGAGCGTTAACTTACTGTGGTGTGTGTTACTTTTCCATCTGTCTCTCTAGAATATAGATGATGAACATGTTGGAATAAGTTGCTTTGAAGTACTGGTTTACAAAAGAAGGGTTCATGCATGGACAGATAAAGATAGCTGTATGCACTTAAAATAGTTGCTGTCTCCCTGTCCTGAACGCATCATTGCACTAACTGTAAGCTGTTATCCGTGAAGATACTGGCAGAAGTCTAAAGAGATTGCTCATCTATTCTGTAATGCACAGGAGCAACTATTTGTTTCCTAGTGGACACACGTCTGTGATAAAATCAGCTGATTCCAGTTTCATTCCGTATGTATCTAAGGGTGTAGTCCTAACCCTGTATTTCTCTTGTTTTACCCCTGTTATTGTCCCTCAAGATCCTGCCTTAACCCTGTTTTGAGCTAAGGAAGTAACGTACCTTTGTTTTCGCTCTTCAGAGATGGAGTTTCTTTCTGAAGGTGGTTGTTCTTGTTGACTTGCTCTGATTCTTTCTCTAATATTTTAGGAAGTAAAGGGGATGCCACTTTGATCTGTAACTCATGTCAATCACTAACTTAGGAATAGTATGTGACATGTATAGAAATGTATCTTGGGATAATTGTTCTGGCACAGCTCAGCGAAAAAACAGCTAAAGTTGATTCAAGGCTATTTTCAGCTGATGTAAATAAATTTAATTCTTAAAGACACTAGCTGCAATAGACTGGTGCAGGAAGAACTGTGAATGATGGTAAGTTTCTTCTATACAGTTTCTGTTTTAAGCAAACTTACGATCAAGTGAGACTGATATTTGTTGTTAATTTAAATTCTATAACTCAGATCTTACTTGGAGTTTCATCTTGTCAGTGGTTTTTCATTTATCTATTCTTAAAAGTGTTCGAGTGGAGTGCAATTTATTTAAATTTTAAAAACAGAAAGGACTTTCCAGTGTCAGTGTGCATCAACAACTCTGATTCAGTAAGGTTGTTTCGACTGTCAGGAATTGTAGAGGCAGCATCTTTGGCACCAGTAGAGATGAGGGAACAAAAACACTGGAAGGAAACCTGTTCTGGAGGAGTTTGAGGGAGACAGGAAAAAGGTGTGTGAGAAGATTTTAAAATCAAACAATTCTACGCTGGCAATGAATGGGGTAACTGATGCACGAGCCTTGAACGGGTCATGATGGTTGAGACTCTCCTGTGCTGGAAGAGCGCATGATTTTATTGGTGCTGGTCTAAAGCTTATCTCAATTGTGCAATTTTGCTTTAATGGAATAACGCACGTCACTGTTTTCTTCTGTACAGAGAGTGGTGATTACACAGATTACAGTGATGATGATTACCTGGAAACTAGGAGGAGAAGATCAAGACGGAATCAGAAGAGACAAGTTAATTATAAGGAAGATTCAGAAAGTGATGGCTCACAGAAAAGTGTCCGATACGGGAAGGAGTTAAGAAGAGTTCATAAACGCAGGCTCTCCACTTCAGATAGTGAAGGTAAAATAAACAGTCCACTGTTTGCAGGAGCTGGTATATGTCAGCATTAGCATGAAGAGAAAACTGTATGTAATTCAGAGATCTCGGAGAATCTTCTTTCTAGAGTTCCGTGATGTTTCTCAGAAACTGTTTCCTTCTGAAACAGTCCACTGGTATTTTATGATGCACTGTTACAGTCACTTCTCAAAGTCATCGTTGTCCCTAATCCTGACTTTCAGGTCCAAATTTACTGTGTCTGGCACGGAGTGCTGGGATTCCAAAATTGGCACTAATGTAACTGTTTCACCACTTTTCTGTTAAGAGGTTACAAAGCTTCATCCCACAAGTCTTTAAAGAATCTCTTTTTTAAGAGAAAGGGTATTACTTCTGGTGCCCTGATTGTATTTGTGCTGGTGGTTAAGACTCCTTCAATCTCCTGCTTGAAGGAGCTGTGATAAGTACAGAGGAAGCCTGCTTTCAGTAATGTCAGTCACACCATGAGTGACCAGTGTGCATTTTGATGTAAAATTAGCTTTTACAAAAGCAACCACTGACTTTGGGTGCTTTGCATTCTGGGCGCCCGGCTTATGAGACCTTAGGTCCGGCTTTCAGAGACGCTGAGCGGTACGGGTTGCAATGGATGCCAGGCTTCCTCAGAAAATCAGCCGCGCTTGACAGGCCGAGCGCCTCTGATTTGTAGGTAAGTTTTGGAAGTGCTGGCCTGAGTTTACAGAGTGTTAGAGGATCCTCTTAGATCAAGGGAAACAAATATATAATGCAGCCATATAGCATCTCAAAAACTTGATCTTATACTTCAATACAGTCTGTTCTCAGAAGTACAATGTGTAGGCTCTCTGCTACGAATCTCCTATATGTTGGCTAAGTTTTTTGCTGCCTGCACTTGTGACTTTACACCGTGCCTGATTGATGGTGTCTTTTCTCCATGAAATCCCATTTCCTCAGGTATTTTTGGTACTGGCTTTTTACATACTAAAATCAGCACCATTTAGTACCATTCCAGTACTCTCCTACAGTTCCCAGAGTGTGTTATAAAATATGTAAAAGCCTTACTGGAAATGTAATTATGTTGAAAATACAGGAACTCTGACAGAGTCTCTAGCAACTCAAACCTACATTAAATAATACCCTTTAAAATGACAATTCACATGCATTTCTAATGGAAATCACAGGAGACATCAAATGGTGTTTGCCATTTGATTTTTCAGTCTCTGTCTTTTCTCACCTAAAGCCATCAAGGGTCAGTGTAAAGGCTGTCAGTGTATAGGCAATATTCCAGTTTGCCAAAAAAAGGCCTCCCATTAAAGGGCAGCAAACTTCAGGTAACAGGCAGTGTTCATATGCTTTGGAAGAAGTAGTATATAATTTGGGGGTGGCGGGGCTATAGTACAGTTGTGTGTGTGTGTGTGTGTATCTTTTTATGATAGTGCAGCCATTATTTGGGCTCTCAGCTTCTGGAAGAGTCTAAAGCAGGTGCTGTGAGATGAGGGATACAGTTCTGCCTTATTCCCGGCATGCAGTTATCACTTTTGGGGGGAATACACCTCCCTTCAAAGCCTCTAGTACTCCTCAGATTGGAAACAGAATATCAACAAATTGTTGGTCTTTGCTACTTGAGCAGATTATTTAAAAAGTAAAAAGAATGCAAGAGTTTTGACATGGTTGGGGGACCTGGGGAAGGAGACGGAAGTGTGTGTGGTGAGAGAGAGCGATGGCTTCTTAATGTGTGAAAGATGAAAAATAAAAAAGTGTAATTGTTTTGGTTGCACTCAGATTTGCTAATGGCTTTAAGTCTGCTGCTTATTTCAGAGAGCTACACATCTAAGAACTCTGAAGATGATGAGTCCACAAAGGAGTCAAAGCGATTGATTCGAAAACGTCGGCGAAGTACAGACGACTACTCTGAGGAAGAAGGAGAGGATGAGGAAGACGAAGGGAGGCCTGTCCGCAAACGGCTGAATCGAATCGAAACAGAAGACGAAGATAACTGCGAAAATGCTAATGATGACGCAGAAAACCCCGCTCCTGCAAATAAGCTGCCAGCACCACAAGCTCCTCAAGACAACACCAAGAAGCACTGCTACCGGATAGAAAGCGATGACGAAGTTTTTTTTAGAGAGCCCTTTGGACTACAGCCTGGTGGACTTGCCTTCCACCAACGGACAGAGCCCCGGTAAAACCATTGAGAACTTGATTGGCAAGCCAAGCGAGAAGACCCAGGCCCCCAAGGACAGCACAGCCAGCGCCAGCCTGGCGCCCAACGGGACGGGGAGTGGGCAGGAAGCAGTAGGGCCGGAGGAAGATGAAGACGAACTTTTGAGAGTGACTGACCTTGTTGATTACGTCTGTAACAGTGAACAGTTATAAGACTTCCATTTTTGTGCTAATTTATTCCACGGTAGCTCATACCAGCGGGCCAGTTATTAAAAGCTGTTTTATTTTTCCTAGAAAATTCTCCACTACAGTATCACTTTTTAGAAGCAAGAATTTCACCAGTCCTGCAGTCTTTCTGTGAAGTGACCAGTTTTGAACTTTGAAGATGAATTGCTGTAAATTCCCTCTCTTACCCCCTTCTCCTTCCAAGTCCATGGTCCTGGGTAATTTCACTCACAAAAACCTTATAACAACAAGAGATTTGTATATTTTTGACTTTATATTTCCTGAGTGCATACAAATTTGTGGAAATGGGTGGCCTAAGAAAGCATTCCAAATCGGTCAGGGCCCAAAC